TTTTTTTTTTTTTTGTTTTCATCTTTCTCTTTTGGGAAAAAAGAGCCCCAGCCATATTCTCATGGGAATAAAATTATACAGTCCATCAGAAACTGTCTCAAACTGACTACAAAACTGGCTACCACCTAGCACTACAACCATAACAATTATTTCTTTCATGAAAGAGAGTGAAGAAGCCATTGTGTATTTGTCTATCGGACAAAATTGTTGTGTAGAAGTTGTGCTGTGATGAAAAATTTATCAGGAGTCATTTCCTCTCCACAAGTTTTCTGGCCAGCAAAATGTCTGTGGCCCAGCCACTGACCTGACTTCTATTTTCTTATAGACATGCAGACCAGACTGCCTGTTTGCAGTCTGTATGTATGAGAACTACTCTTTGTCCCCAAGGCTTTGTTGGTGGCATACCTCCTTCTTTAAAAGAACCAGGCAGGGTGCAGTGGCCCACAAGCATAGTGTGGTGTTCTTAAGTCTCTCTCTCTCTTCCCATCCGCACCCCTGACTTCGGGAGGAGAGGAGAAAGAATAGCAGCAGCTTCTTATTGTCCACCATTCGACTCCCTGTGTGTGAAATTCTGTGTGTGTTTGTGTCATGGCATCGCACTGCCACATAAATAAGGATTTTTCATTCCTCCTTGTTGTCCCTCTCTCCCCCATTTTTAAAGGCTTCTTACTCTGAAATACAAGCCTCAAGTCTAAGACATGACAAATTCAGAAGGGAAATGATATCTCTCCTTTTTGTTAATGGGATGTATGCAGCAACATGGTTTATTGTCTTGAAGTGGTGCAGTGTATTTAATCTTAGAGGAAGGTTGAATTTGCAGTGTATGTGACTGAGCCAAGCACATAAAAAGGGCATGCCAGATGGTTTCAACAAAATTACTGGACACATTTGACATTACATCACAATCTACATTATATCTTATTTAGAAAATACTGGACACTTATATTTTCTCATTTATATTTTCTCAATTTGTTTCCAGAACAGAAAGCTCAAATACTGGACTGTCTGGTTCAAAATCGGATACCTGGCAACCCTATGTCTAAATGACATCCCTCTTTTGAAAGAGGGATGTAAATTAGGCAGATCAAAAGTGCAAATGAAGCTGGGATTTTAATATCACGCACTTCATCTGCATAATTGCATCAGCGTTCTTTCGAAAAAGGGTATTTTGAAAGTGAAACTGCTGTTCCTTAAAAAAAAAAAAACAAACAAACTCTTTTTCGAAAGATCCTGTATGCCTCAGGAGCTTCGAAAAAGGGTATTTTGAAAGTGAAACTGCTGTTCCTTAAAAAAAAAAAAACAAACAAACTCTTTTTCGAAAGATCCTGTATGCCTCAGGAGCACGGGATCTTTTGGAAAAGGGTTTTTTTTCTGAAAGATCCACTTCTAGACGATGGTTTCACTTTCAAAATACCCTTTTTCGAAAGAACGCGTATTTCTGTGACGCAATTATGCAGATGAAGCGCGGGGATATTTAAAATCCCTGCTTCATTTGCACTTTCAATCTGCTAATTTACATCTCTCTTTTGAAAGAGGGATGTAGTTTAGACATACCTTAGAGGCTACAAATGTGCTGCCTGTCTAATGACCACTGGTCCTCAGTATTGCTGGGAAGAATGCTTTTTTTTTTTTTTTTTTAAAGTCAGTAACATTTTCCCCCCAATATGAGTGATGTCCATTTAATTCTCTGGGCTTTCTTCTTTCTCCTGCCCCCACAAAGCTATGTTTACCTTGTTGGGCTTTGAGGCAACATTATTTTAAAAATCACAAAAGAGCGAGGAACATACCACATGAAATCTCTGCCTTCTGACTGGCTCTTCAGAGGTAAATAGATTTTGCTGGACATCTAAAATCATCTCAGGATGTTGGCTTCAAAGAGAGTAATGTTTTCTCTGTTCACCATGCTGATAATGAAGAGAACTCCAGATATTTGATAGTCATAATTTATGTAAGAACACATAAAGATTATTTGTTTTCAGGAACACTGAGGTTTATTGTCTATTGAGGAAAATATTGACTTCAATTTTGCCTTAGTTAACATTTCCCTCTTGATACCATGATTCTGTCAAGATTTATTGAATCTGCTTATTATGTTCCTTGTATATCACCTTTTTTTTTTGAGAAGTCAGCTAGAAATTCATAATGGGGTTAATCGTGCTGCTGAGTAATGTTCTTGGCTTGAGCCAGACCATCTGAAGGGAGAAATTCGGAAAGTAACTAGCTGACATAGACCTAAAGTATTAGTGGAAAAGTAGAGGTGAGCTTGCAGTGCAATATGATAGCAAAAATGGCCCAGTGACATTTTGAACTGCACAGAGGCATCACAGGACACAGGGGTAATAGTCCCTCTATATAGCTTTGGTATAATTTTATCTGGAGTATTGTCGTTAGTTACAGTACTTTATTGTGAGAACAATAGAGACAAATTGGATCAAGTTCAGAGGGGAAGAACAAATATAAATAGAGAACTGGAGAAGATGATTGACAAAAAAGATTAAGAGCTAAAAATGTGTAATTAATTGGCTGAGCAATGATTAAGGGAAGGGATATGAAAAATTTATAGTTATTTAAATTAAAGCATATAGTCCCAAAGATAATGCAAACTGATAACAAATTACTTGTATTTAAAAGAAAAGCGTTAAACTGAATAGCAGGGACAAGAGTTGTGGACAAAGCATTAGTGAGCCTTCTCCAGGGAGCAATTATATGCTGCCAAGGGGCTGGACTAAATGTCCTCATAATTCTCTTCCATATTTAATTTCTAATTACACATTTCCAGCACAAATTTAACTCCTTATGGAGTTGATAGTCATCCTTGTGAAGAGAGTAGCACAAGGCCTATGCATCACTTATTTTGCACGTAATACATCACACTTAAGAAACTTAAGACATCAAAATAGGGATTAAGTGGAACATAGACCTTGCATTAGAAGTCTGCACAGGGGCAGATTATAGCACCCCAACTGATTATAAAAGCAAGCCATCTAAGTGAGGCTTTGATATTGCACCAATGTACCTTTGAATATCTGCATCCCATTACACTATTCTTTGAATATGCTGTATTATGTTAAAAAAGAAAAAAAAAATCACAGCTCTTAAAGGCAAATCAGCCTTTGAAATGACTATAAATTCCTGAACAGGAATGGCTAACACTGAATACAATACTATATGTACTAGCCTTTCAAACAGGTATAGACCAGGTCATTTAGCTATAACTCATGTGGAAAGAGGAAGAAAAATGATTAAATTGGGGGTACAAATAATTAGGTTAAGGTGCAAGTTCTATATATTTTTCTGAAGGTAGTTTAACTAAAGTTGAGACTCACCTGGCATGTTAGTAGGCTTATGATGATGGTATTAAAATTCTTTTTTGAAATTTGCATTTGGAGTAGTGAGAATGACTTGGAGAGGGAAGTAAATATGTGAACTCTTCCTGGAAGTAGTAATGTAAGAAGTAATTTGAAATTGCACACACCAAATTCAGCCCAATTCCCATCTAAAGTTCCAGTCCTGTAATTGGAGCACATGAGCACGAGCATCTGCTTACATAGTTCTTATTGGTAGATCCCTGCATGGATATAAAATGTATATCCACATCGACATCTGTATCCACAAAAATGAACCATGGATATCCGCATCCACATCCACGGATGCGGATACCCGCAGATATAAAGCAAATATCTGCATATTTGGAGAATTGGGGACCTACACATTAGCAAAACTGCTGTTGACTTTGGGAGCAAGGTCTGGCCCATGCTCTAGTTTCAAGCTTTCCAAAACTATATTCTTCACACATTTTACAAATAATCAATTATGTGCTACTTTTACTCACACAGTCCTTCAGTTTTTATAGATAGTGAAGCCCAGAACTTCAGCTGGTGTGATTTGGTTTAGCTCTCTTTATGTTGGATAGAGCTATGCTAATTTACATTAATTGAGGATCTGACCCACTGGATCATAACAGAAGATCCACTGCAGGTTAATACTTTTTGAAAATAGCCTCTTGTTTTGTCTTTCTTAAAAAAAGGCTTCAAAAGTCTTAAAGCTTTTAATACGCTTTTAGCAGTAGATTATATATTATGTCTATTTCTTATTTAAGAAACATTGAGTTTTCATTGTAAATCCCATTTTTAGCATCATTTCACTGTTCATTCCAGTTTAACACCCAAGTTTCATTTTAGTACAGTTTATCTTGAGAGAGCAGAATCTCTGTAGCTTTAATTAACTGTATTAATACATAGAGTAACATAATATTAAATGAGCCTTACTCTGCGAATGGGTGAGACAGGAAATGTTTTTACTTGAAGCCTTACAATATTTCTTTTTTGTTTTTTTACTTATTTGTGTGTTGACTTAATAGAACAACCCGCATAGCAATGAATTTGAAATGCTGAGCCAAATTTTGTTCTGATTTTCAATGATCATTTGGCTCTGTATGTTGAAAACTGACTGCAGAAGTAACTGAAGTGAGAAAATATTTTTGTGTAACCCAAAGGAAAAAACCCTAAGAGTTCTGTATTTTCAGGAGCTGGCTAATAAAATTACAAAGATATGTTGGCCACTAAATATATTACCTTGCATTGTTTTAGGAGGTTATAACAGGAAGCACACAGCCAACGCATATTTGAGTTTGCTCTTTAAATTAAAGAAAACCCAAATTCAATCATATCTTGTTTATCCTCAACTGTAAGAGCTACCCAGATCTATGTTTTAATGTCCATAATCTGATATGTAGCAAATGAGCTGTTTGTGTTGCTGTTTTGAAAATATAAACAAAGTATTATCTGAACTTTGCCTAGGATGACTACATCATGGGTACTATAAGGGAACTTCTTCAGATGATGTTTGTACTCCTATAAAACTTAAATAATATGGAAATCGTGATTGGGTTTTGTCTTTACTATACCTCAGGTCCAGCCTAGAGATATATATTTGAAGAGGGGAAGCATAGGGGGAGTCAATGATGCTGTCACATAGACAGTTTGGGAAGTTTATATTGACACATTTTACAATCTATATTTCACCTGTTCTGCTCACTTGAACTGTTGGAATGTATCTGTGCGGGCTTTGTGGAGCTCTATCTGTAAGCATTTTGTGGCTCTAGTAATACATATATACATATATATTTATAATCACTTGAGTTATTTTGGTATTTTAAGGTGTCACGTTTTCCTGGTGTTTCTGCATCAGACTGTATAGGTGCAGTATGTTCAGAGGCTCATAAATACTATGCTACCCCTTTTCTGAGGCCCTCTTAATATTTCCTTCATTGCATTCCATGGGCCAAATCCAGAGTGGCATGGAGCAGCTTTGCTGCACTGAGTTTCAGATACTCAGCACTATTCATAGCCTGGCCTTTGTGAATTTGTAAAACTTAAAAGTGCATGAAATGTGACATGGAACAATGAAAGTCAATCTAGATGGGAAAAACTATGTTGGTAAATCATAAATGGAATTAACTGTATCTTAAGTACCTTCTTCAATATGCTTAAAAGAGTATGGAAAACTAGATTACTTCTTGTGGTAATCTCTGAAGACACAAATATTACCATTGATTAAGTATGGTATCCATTGCAGCAGGATGTGTATGTCTTGACAGCCAAATTCTAGTCTGTTTAACCACCTCTATCAACTCCCGTTTCTAGTCTGTAAAAACATGCCAGTTAAGTCTGTGATACAGTTGATACAGTTGCCAAACCTTCTTAAGAGCAGCTGCAGTGGGATCTTAGAAGCCATAATGTGTCATATGCAGACGGTGAGAGAAGATTCATTCATGAAGAGTGCTCATTGTAAATGCTTGTCATGCTTTTGTGTCTCTTTCAGTGATAAAGATTAGGCTACATATATCATCATCAGATTCTCAGCTGACATAAATCAGCATAGGTCCATTGATTTCAGTTGCATCAAAACCTATACAATCATTCCAGCTTATGCATATGTTTTCTATAAGACATAGCTAAACGTTATGAGCATTAAAAAATTCTGATTTCTTTTTTCAGTTCTGTGGATCAAGTTACAGTTCACTTTTTAAACCAGATATGAGAACGTAATATTTGAAACAAACAGAGACACAGATTGGAACTATTTGTGCAGGTGAAAATAGCTTTTAGGGGAAGAACAATTATAGTCTAAGTGGATTTGAATTACTGTCAAAATAATTTTTGTTCGTCTTATCACAATTACTGGAGTTTTTAAAGAAGACATTTAACAGCTGGTGAACCTGTATCATTGAAACATTTCAAAAATGTCTCAGACACTTCGAACTACATGGTGAAATATGATCTACTTCCATAGTTGAAAAGAATTCTAAAGAACTTACGGTACATTTGACAGTGCCTTATAAAGATACAGTATATTCTTTCTGTATGTATATAACATATACATAAGTGTGTATATATAGTCAAAGAAAATTTGTTACAGACCTGCTTATTTTGTATATTTTAAATGCAGAACTTTTTTTTTCTTTTACAGAAACAAAATTAGAATCCATGTCAGCTGCAGTTTGTATGTATGTGTCATTCATACACACACACATATATATATATATATATATATATATATTTGTTGATATACAAGCTGAAAATACAATAAAAGGTTAGATCAGTGACAGCATCTCTGCCCAGGGGTTCTGCTGAATGCTCTGGAAAAGTAAAATTGCATAGGTGGAAGAGCAATTTAAGATTCTTTAGAGGAACATTAAAGAAGGGAGGTGGTTATGAAGACTTAAGGGAAACCAAAGTTGTTAATTTAGACTTTGTCCTTCAGCCTAGTTCCATATATTTATTTTCAATTGTTATACCCTCCCATTGCTCCTCATCTTATGTATTCACTGCAAAATCATTGTTGAAAGCAGGATATAAGAGCCAATGATCCAAGTGATCTGACTTGCTGTGATAAATGCCATGCTCTAGTTCTGTTCTATGCAAGTTTCCCTACCCACAAGTGTGTGCAATATGGCTGTCTTATTTGTGTACAATGGCTATTAGCATTTTTCCTGGAACTGGATCTACAAAGAGGAAACTTGCCCAGTGCTCAAAGGAATAAAGCAGGGTGAGTGTGAAAAGATGGGTTACTTTTCCTTAAAGAGGATAGGAAAATAGAAAATTGAAGTAATTTTCTTAAACAAAGCAGCTTCAGAAAAGCCGGCTCATGCACAGCAGCAAGGCACCTTGAATACCAAGTCTCTAATTTCCTAGCAAACGCTTGATGAAATTCTGCTTTGCATAGTGGCTGGCCCTACTGCCTGACTCACCACAATATTATGCCAGTGACTCTATTGAGTTACACTCTAACAAATTAGATCAGTGTTTCTCAAAGTGTTCTGTGCGCCTGCTCTGGGAAAGCCACTAGCAGGCCCACACTGCTTTGTTTACCATTGATTCCCAGTGGCTCCAGTTTGCTGTTTCTAGCTAAGGGAAGCCGCAGGAAGTGATAGCTTCCCTTGGCTGGAAATGGTCAACTGGAGTCAGGAAGAGGCATGGGCTCACAAGCGGCTTTCCCAAAATGTGCCTGTGGAACACTTTGAGAAACAATGAGCCCCATATCTATCTCTGTGCTGAGCAGAACTCTTAGTTCAAAATTAATGCTTTTGCAATTCTGCTATACTTGTTTGTTTTGAAAATTATATATATATTAATTATTTTTCTTCCTACCCTGAACAAGAAACTACTTGATTATATGATAAGGAATCCATTGGTTAGTGTGACTCAAGTTTGGGACTTTCAAAGCCAGATAATGTGAATTGGACATACAATCCCTTATACAGCTTTGAAAGTATTCATACGAATTTAAACTTAGTTGAGACAAAAAAGTTTATATTCAGGTTCTCTTTAGAATTCCAGCAAAATATGTTCTTGTTTGGATTTCAACATCCCCAGACAATCCTGATGCCAGTGCATGAGAACCAAATGAAGAAGCTGACAGGAAACAAAAAAGAAATTGCCCCATGTATTTTCACTTTGAGATCAGAGCGCACCAAGCAAGCAAAGAATGAAAACTTGATTAGATTTCTTAAATTATTTCAGTTTTAAATTATCTAAGGTTAATAACAAAAATAAGGCATTTTATAGTTTAAAAATTTCCTCTTTATAAAAACAACCCCCCCCCCCCACACACACACACACATTACAAACTTAAATGGTTTAAAAGCCTTTCTTGTAACAAGGCATGTAGGATACCTGCCACATTAGATCCTCAAGACCTTATTGAAATTCCCAGGATTTATTTAATCTCTTAAAAATCCCACTACTCCGTAACAGTACATACCTACTGGCATGCTTTTGCCCCATTGAGTCAGAGTATAATTCTGAAGATGCACTTAAGGTATTGTCTAGACTTGGTGCCTACTGGGAAACTCTTATTGAGATAGTTTAGGGAAAAAATACAGCCGTGGTCTACACTAGAATCTTATTCCGAAATAACACCCCCAAATTTAAATTTATAAGCAGTATATCTATGCTACCAAGCTACCAAGCTCATTATTTCAAAGTAACAGGCTGCAGAATTCAAACTATGTACTCCTTTTCACGAGGAGTAACGCTAATTCCAAAATAGTAATTTTGAAATAACATTATAGCGTGCGTGCTCTGGTACTGCTAATTGGAACCTATTGGCCTCCAAGAGATCTCCCACAGCTCCCCAGAGTGCTTCCTGGAGCTCTAAGTCTGAGGTACCACGTCCACATTAATGGAGTTTGCCTCAGACTAATTTCAATGCATCCCAGTCAGGAGGACACGCTAGTTCGAACTTGTTGAATTGGGAATTCTTAAGTTGAATGTAGTAATTTTGAACTAGTTTCCTAGTGTAGACATTGCCTAAGAGAATTTATCTTGTTTGCCTTAGACAAAATTGATGCCTGAATAAGAATATAAGGAACAGTTAGGCTCCCATCTGAGACTATGGCTACACTGCTGTCTTTATGTGGAAGAAGATAAGCAAATCGTGTTCGCATTTGCATATCTTCTTCTGATTCTTTTTGTGGAAGAGGTTTTGCCGCTATTTGGCCCTGTGTAGACAGGGCCAAATGTCAGGGGGGAAAATACCCACTTTCACCAGACCCCTTATTCCTCATAAATCAAGGTTTACAAAGTCTTGTGAAAGAGGGTGTTTCCAGCATTTTGCCTCGTCTACACAGTGCCAAATAGCGGCAAAACCTCTTCTGCAAAAGAATCGGAAGAAGATATGCAAATGCGAGCGCAATTTGCATATCTTCTTCCACAAAAAAAGGCAGTGTAGCTGTAGCCTGAGTAATGTATCACTTTGTAATTACCTTCCATGTTTTGGAACCAAAGTGTATCTTTGAATTAGTATATATTGAACCATAGCTGCAAATATGGGCATCAGTGGAGACTTACTCGTAGGCTTTCCACTCCAAAACCACAGATGTTGGCCACCTGAGATAAAGAAATAATTCTCTTAGATATGCCATAAGAGAGAGTATCTGTTTCCATAGAGAGATACCACCACACATTAAGCTAATAAATGAAACGTGCACAGCTCTCACTGAAGGGATGAAATCTATGATCCTTAAAACAAATGAAAGTTTCGCCACTGACTTCAATATCATTTGGATTTCACTCATTGGCTGCGTCTAGACTGGCAAGTTTTTCCACAAAAGCAACTGCCAGCTGTCTACACTGGCTGCTTGATTTTGCGCAAAAGCACTGACGTTCTACTTTCCGAAATCAGTGCTTCTTGCGCAAATGCTTTGACATTTCCGTTCAGGCAAAAGCCCTTTTCCGAAAATGTTTTTGCGCAGGAGGGCCAGTGTAGACAGCTAAAAACTGTTTTGCGCAAAAAAGCCCCGATGGCGAAATTGGTGATCGGGGCTTTCTTGCACAAAACCACGTCTAGATTGGCATGGACGCAAAAAATGCTTTTAACGGGAAAACTTTTCCGTTAAAAGCATTTGCGGAAAATCATGCCAGTCTAGATGTAGCCAATGTGTAATTCTTAAGTGGTACATTTAGGACATAAACTATCCAGCATTAGGACAACATTTAGGGCTTCTAATTAGAGCTGATCAAAAAGTTTCAAAAATTATTTTAAAAAAAAGACATTTAAAAAAAACTTTCAGCAATAGTTCCCTATTTTTTTTTTCTCTAGCTCTACTTCTAATGGTCCTGCTCTCCCACAATGCCTGCGTAAAAGGGTTCATTAGAGGGGATCTAAGAGGGCTTGGGATGAGGAAGGACTCCTTCCTCCACAAGGTAGGGTTTTGGTAGTGGAGCAGCAAAGCTTCCTATATATACCTCCCTGGAAATTTACACCCGTGGATCCTGGACAGTGGCTGATAACAGGTCAGTTCCTGTATCATGTCCTCAGAACACATGCACTGCAGTGAGAAGCATCGTGCGTATGGAGGTGAATACTATCTCTGTGGTTCACATAGGCTGAAACCACACAGGTTCCCCATGATTAAAGATTCCTTCACCCATTTTAAGAGAGTATCAGTCAATGGTCCTAAATTAATGAATGTCTTCCAAATGCTTCAGGATCCTTGGATGAGGGACACTAGGGGATTACAATTTAATATTGTAACTTCTATTATGGTAGACCAAGCCCACAGTAATAATAAAAAACCACAGGTGTTGGCAGGAATAAATGCTGTTCTGATTGTTCCTCTTATGAAATCACACATTACTTTACTTCACAGTACCAACAAAAATCTTTTCAAATATCCTTTTGCTCTTTTTTGTTTTGTTAAACCTCTGGATAGGCATTTGATATAAGATTTGTAGATACAAATTAATGGTCTGATCTTGCAGCCTTAAAATCAGGACCAACTCCCATTGCTGTCAAAGCATATCTAAGTAAATTCAATTAATACCATTGTGGGCTCAGTCCTGCAGTTTTTACACTGCTAATCCAGTTGGTCACTAGATCAGCTCCTGATTATCTTAGTGAAAGATGTCTAGTAACAGATTTAAAAGTAGGAAAAAATGCTTTAAATAAATGGATTAGGGCATTTTTTTTCAAAAAAAAATTATAGAACAAAATACAAATATACAGATTACAATTTAATGGCATACAACGTGCACATTTTTGCACTAGTAGCCTATGGCATTTTCCCAGTATTAAACTTCATGATTTTCAGAAATCCGCTAGAGTAATTATATAGTCAATATGAAGGATGATCTTGTGGATAAGGCGCTGGAAAGGGCTTCAGGAGAACTGGGTTCATTTCCTGCTCAACCACAGATTTTCTTTTTGACTTTAGGTAAGTCATGAATTGTTCTGTGCCTGGGGTCCCTGTGTCTCAAATGGGGAGAAATCACCTTCTGACTTCAGAAGGGTATTGTGAATCTTTGCAAGGACTCAAATCTATAGGGATGAAGACTAGATAGATACACCCCAAAAGTATCCAGGAGCAATTGTGCATCTTCAACCTCAAGCTAAAGATTTTAGAATGTTTTTAAACCACTTCCTTAGTGATGGAGTTTTGAAGCTATTAGTTTATGGAAGCTGTTTATGGGAATCTCTAAGATTGACTTTGAAAGTCCAGTTGAGTACAGATCCTAAACAACTTTCTACCTTGAGTCTTTCCTTGACCTTTTGAATATTTCCTTATAATGTTTATTCCTCTGCCAATAATACCTGCTTTACAGTGTCTTATTTATTCCATAAGGGCACATGCATGACTGCCTTAAGCAATTTAGCTCTCCTTTGCCTGCTTATTGAAATAGTTGTACATATTTTTTTTCAAACAATGAACAGAAATACAGTAGAACAAACTGCAATAGATTGGTTGGCCTTAGAAAGGAGATACTACATCTTACTCAACTGTGAGTTTGTAGCATAGACTACAGTGTGATGGTGGCTTTTGGTGCCACTGCCATGGCATGGGTTGCTGAGGAAGTTCAACCTTTTTTGAGAGAGAGAGCTAATGCTAGTGTATGTTGCCATGAAAAAACAGTTATTACATCCTGGCATTTTGTGTCCATTTTAATGTTGTACAGAAATACATATAAATATATATTTATCTGATGCCCAGTATTCATAGCACATGAAGAATATCAAAGAAGGAATAAAATCATATATTGGAGTACAAAATATGTCTGTTGCTAAAATGGTCCTTTCTCAAGGTTACTATTTTTAATCATAATTTGAAAGTAGTTGGGAGGGGTAGAAATAATCACTCTTTGGGATGTTTAAGAGATGAAAACACCCTGCTTTTAAGGGCTAGTTGTTTAGGCGTGTATGTGTGTATGTGAGAGAGAGTGTTTGTGTAAATACCATTTGCATGAGTTTATTTAAATGTAAAGGCAAAATAAATATATTTATTTTCATTGTATTAAAGCACAGAATGGCTGCATTTTTCAAAACCTGTAACCTTAAGTCAGAAAATATACCATGGTAATTTACTGTATTTTGCCTTTATTTTTTTTCACAGAATTTATAATACTGTTCTATCTGGGTATTTTACTTTTCATTTATTTTCCAAAATAAATTTTTTCCTGTGTTTTACCTACATGCATTCTTTAGAGATCTATGCAGATTCTTTTAAAGTGCTGGAGACTGCAGAGTCCCATTTTAGCATTTTGGTAATGTGTTACTAAAAGACAAGGAAGAAGGGCCAGAGCAATGCCTAGTTCTCTCAGGAATTATAGGGTATACCCACAATCTCTATTCCCCTAGAAATATCCTCACTTCTTTCATAGATTCATAGAAAACCAGAAGGGACATTGTGATCATTCTGTGCAACACAGGTCATAGAAATTATCCAGAATAATTCCCACAGCAGGTCATTTAGAAAAATATCCAGTCTTGATTTAAAAACTGTCAGTGATGGAGAATCCACCACTACTCTTGCTAATTTGTTATAGTGTTAAAAATATACGCCTTATTTCCAGTGTGACTTTGTCTTGCTGCAACTTCCAGCCATTGGAGCCTGTTATACCTGTCTCTGCTAGATTGATGAATCAAGTCTTCTCTCCCCTCCCCCTTAACCTTCTCTTTGTTCAGCTAAATAGATTGAGCTCTGAGAGTCCATCACTGTGAAGGCATATTTGCTGAGCCATTAATCATTCTTGTGGATCTTCTCTGAACTCTCTAAAGTATAATAACATTTTTTTATGTATTCATTCTTGAAGGAGACTGCTTTCCAGTGTTCCCACCAGGGTAGTGCAGCTCTGTACAACCCCTTACTAGGAAGAGTTTGCACCATCAAACCCTTTATGATTTGTCCCTTGGAAAGTTAGGGTGTTGTTATAAACTGGGTGAAATTTTGTGATGTGCTAAATTAAAACCCCATGGAACCTGATAGTTGTGAACTTGCCCTTCACTGTAAGCCTAAGCCCTTGCCTAAGACAAAAGTGTATGTGCACTTACCCAGGCTCTTTTGATTAAATACTGTTTGGGGGCAGAAGTTAACCCTGTTACAAAATGTCATAGTTGGTAGACTCCAACACCCCCTACCACCAAGAAGCAATGGGACTTTAGAAGAGGTAACTGTAAAAGAAGATGGAGGAAATTGTCTGCTTATTAGCAGAATAGCAATTAAAGACTGGAACTCTCCTACAACTTGTATAGAGTCAATAAAAGCAGCAGGCAATACATCTAGGGAGCCATCTAGGGAGATTGGAGTCCCCTCTCAAAGACAAAGACAAGCCCCTCTGAGGTATGTTTCCCATGCAGGTCAGAAGATTGTAGGTAGAATACTTGCCCTATTGAAGATTGGCACTGGGGGAAGGGCATATGATGGATGGTGAGAAAAGACAAACGTTTGGAACAGCCCATCAAACTCTTGTGTAGTATATAATTGGTTATCTGGATTTTGTAAGCCCCTCTATGTGAAAAGGGACAGGAAAAGCACTACACACAGAAACAACAGATATTTTAGATCAGGGTACCAGACTACCCAATTGGGATGTTAAAATGTGTATGAGGGTATATCTACACAGCAAAGTTATTTTGAAATAACAGCCCTTATTTTGAAATAACTTTCCTAGCGTCTACACAGCCAAACTGCTATTACGAAATAAATTCAAAATAGAGGAGCACTTATTTCAAATTTGGTAAACTTCATTCTACAAGGAATAACGCAAAATTCAAAATAGCTTATTTTGAAATAACGCTGTAGTGTAGACATACCCCAACTGATTAACTCTATAACAGCTGAAAATTCCAGCTGTATTATGGTTACATGCATATTATGGTTACATTATTTTACAAATAAGATACAGTGGCAGCCCACTCCCTGGGAGCAGGTGCATGCAGGGAGCTGACTTTTAATCTGGCTCTCCATGTATACTGACTCCCAACTGCTGCTCCCTGAGGCAGCAGTGTAGGGAGGCAGCAGCTTCCTAGGAGCCAGACCAGGAGCTGTGTGTAGCCATGTTGCTGTTTGGGTAACCAATAAGCATAAGCCTATCAGTTACCAATATAAAAGACTATATGCTTATATCCTGGCTACCCAAAGAGGATGGGCGCAAGCTAAATGACAGAAGTTGTGCCAAAGTTATCTGAGGAACTCCAAACAGAAATAAATCCTGGGAAGCATGTGTGAGTCCAGGCAATAGTCACAATGCAAACTGGGGCCCAAGGGGAGAAAGCTGGTACCCAAATGGTGCACCAGAGGGCTGCTATAAAGACCCTGATGACAGGAGGAGGGGAAGGAGTGGCCACTCAAATGGGTAACTGTGAGGTAAAAGGAGAAATGTGAGTAGCTCAAGCAATTTTCAGAGAACAATTGGCTGAGGAATGACCAGCAATCTTAGATGCAAGAGGTTGTCTGCTAATAAAGGTGAGCGAACTGGAATTGGAGCTGGAGCGTCTGGGAACCCAGGCCATTCAGGAATGTAGCCAGCCACACCAATGAAATGGCTATTGGGAAAAGGGTATTCCCTCTAGGAGTCTGTTGGCAAAGTTCTAAAGGGGGCATGATATATAACAGGTTGGCTTATCCTATGGGCTGGAGTTTAGCCAGTCAGTTCTAATAAAAAGGGGAGAGCCCCAGATAGCTGCAGCTATGCTGTTGGATACCCCTCCGGGAGGACCATGACAAGCAGGAGATTGCTTGTGGGGGGACCCTTACTGTGTTTAGGATCAGATGTCAGAAGTCCAGGGAGTTGGACCTGGGAGATCAGACCACAATGGAAGAGCTAAGGACTTTTTATTTGTGTTGTTAAAATGTTGTTGTTTGGTTCTAATATTAAACTCCCCCAAACTGAGGTATTTTTAACCAGAGAGAGCCTCCTAGGAGTTCTTAAAGGTCTCTGAAGTGAGGAAAGACAGAGGTGGGAAGCCTGCAGCGATACCCCTGGTCAAGAGGGAATGCTCACTGAGCAACAGTCCTATTACAGAACTGTAAGGTAAGAAACTGCTCCTTGTGTTCATGGTTTCTTCTGCATTTAGATACACAAGATTTTGTATGTTTCTTGTAAATAAACAAGATGGCATCTCAGAAATAGCAGGGTTCCATCAATTTCTACTTGACTTGAATAAGACTGAATATTTACAACAGTTTTCTATTCCAGTTTGAATTCATAGTGGCAAAGTCAGACTTTCCCAGCCTAAATAATGCAACAGCCTCACTATCGTTGAAGTGAATACACCCTGGGGAGCATAGGTAATGGAAGTACCATTGCCGCACTCCAGCTCGAAGTGATTTCCATTATGTACAGGGTTTACACTTTGGTTCAATGGCTCTCAGTGCCCCCACTATAAAAATTGTTTCCATACCCGTGCCTGGGAGGCTTAGTTGGCTCAATTCAACATGATAATCTCAAATGAATGGCTGGGAAGGACAGAAAGGGGGTTTTCTAATAGCCAGCTTGGTGGCCCAGCACTGATAGTGCCGCAGAACTTACTTCTAAGCAGAGCTGCTGATGAGGATGCAAAGGGGGCAGTTGCCACAGGACCCAGCAATTTTCAGGGGCCCTGAGCTCTGGACCCCTTTAAATTGCCCCCAGAACCCTACACAGTGCTGTCCAGGTGTCACTGAGGGCTGAGTTGGGGAGGCACAGTGTGGTACAGGTAGCACTGAGGTCTGGCTTCTCCTAGCCCCGTTCCTTCCGCCTGAGGCCATCCCCCTTCCAAAGACCCAAGGCCAAGACCCACCCCCAGGTCCATCACCGGCCCTGCCCCTAGGAAAGAGATAGTGTTATCCAGAACTGATAAAAGGTCTTGAATTGCAGTTTGGAGCTTGCTATCTATCTCAGCTGGCCAGCACACAGCTAAGTGCTAGAAGAGGTAAAGAAGAAGCTCCAATCTGAACTGGAAGAGGACCTAAGGAAGACAGTTGTGTTCCTGGCATTCTCTGGAGCCTTCCAGATAGGGTGACAATGGACTAATTTATAGACATTCATCTCAACTTGCAGATCCAGATCAATGAAAGGAGATTAAAGACACTTGGAGAAGTTGGGGAATTTTGCCACAGAAATTGAATCTTTTCTTGTAGCAGTGTGACAGAAGAAGAAACAGCTGCTAGTGTGGAAGATGAGCACCATGTGCCTTGTAAGTACAGCTCTGTGTCTAATATGCATAATAAAAGAGAGGATTTTAATTTGATTCATATTGAATTATAACAGAATATAAACTTGATTTGTAAAACAAGAGAAATTGGAAATAATGCAAAAACTAAAGGAAACAGTTGTGTCAAATGCTACTACTGTGATAAAACTGGCCAAAGAAGGATTGTTATAAATCTAAGGTAGGCCAAGACAGACTACTGCAGGGGTCTAGAGAGACACTTTGAGAAATAGGGGAATGCCAACTGAAGGGGTAAAGCTGCTGAAGGGACAGGGATCAGCCCCACAGGTTCTGTTCAGATCTGGGCAATTAAACAACAATAATGGGAGTTTGGTTATTGGGTAAGTGATAGGATTTATGATGTGTACAAAGATAGTTGACACAGCTGCAAATGTACCAGTTATACTGCTGGGGAAAGTCCATGCTCCTGAGTGTGGGAATAAATCATGAGCTGAGCATGTTTTTAATTTTTTGCCTAGGAAAAAAAGCTTCTACTGGAACGTTGCTAAAGTTCCATATTATGCTCAGGAGAAAGTGGTGTGACACTAGAAGAGAGCAGCAGCTCTCAGCCACGTAGGGAAGAAAAAAAGCCCTGCAGAGCCTTCTTTGCTGTATCTGCCACGCCAGCTCAGGAGACAGGGGAAACAGGGAAACAGACAGCATGGAATTCTGAGGGGGTCAGATGGGCTCATAAGGATTAGTATGGAAGGACAGATTGGAATATGGGCTAACGGGAAACGGAGATGCAGGGCCATGGGGGGAAGAGGTGCAGGATCAAATGGGCAGAGGGTGTGTGTGTAAAAATCTACAGGGGACAGGGGGATGACTGAGTGGGGACACAGAGATACGTAAGGACAAGAGAAAGGGATGCCGGGCCACATGAAGATGGGGGAGTGGCTAAGTGGGGCACGGGTCCCCCGTCTCCTGCACCCCGAAATGGCACAAACAGACTGCACCAGCCGGTGGAATAGAGGAAGTTTATTGCCTCTCCAGGATACAGCACAGCACAGATGTAATCTGGTCACAGAGCTGGGCTAGGATGCCTCAGGCCCCCTTGAGATGGGGGGAGACTGGACCCCTAAACTCCAGCCCCTTTCCCTAGGCTGTCTCCTCCATGCTCCCAGACAGCAACTAACCAACACTCTTCCAGCCCTGCCCCCCCCCAGCCAGGGCAGCATTCCACCTTCCTTTGTTCCTCTCCATGGGGGGTGTCTGGTCATACTGGTTGAGAGATCCCTTTGCATAGTGACTCATCCTGTTTTGCTGGGTCGTGGTATCCACGGCAGCCAGTAGGGGTTACCCCAGAGCCAGCAGCATAGAAACCAGCCAGGTTCCCTCACTACGTCACAGAGGCATATAGGGATGAGGGAGCAGGGCTACATGGGGGTGAGAGGATTTGGTGTCAGAATGAGGATGGAAGCACACTTGGGGACAGGGCAGATGTGCCTGAATGGCGGAGACTAGGTAGACAGTCCCTCTTCAGTGTGTTCTCTGTAAGTTGAGCTCTTGGGCAGCCACCTAGGAGAGATTCAAATTCCATCCAGATAATCACATTTGCGCCCCCAGTGGAAAAAACATGTTGCCAGCCATTGGCGCTCCTCTGATCAGATGGGTGGAATTTGAATCTCTCCTGGGTGGCTGCCCGAGAGCTCAACTTACAGGGAACACACTGAAGAGGGACTGTCTTTTAACCAGTCATCAATCCATGAAAGCACCTTCCCTCTTATTCCATGACAACTTACTTTACCTAAGAGCCTTTGGTGAGGGACCTTGTCAAAGGCTTTCTGGAAATCTAAGTATATTATATCTACTGGATCCCCCTTGTCAACAGGTTTGTTGACCCCCTCAAAGAACTCTAGCAGATTAGTAAGGCATGATTTCCCTTTGCAGAAACCATGTTGACTTTCTTTCAATAAATTATGTTTATCTATGTGTCAGACAATTGCATTCTATACTGTAGTTTCAACTAATTTGCCCAATACTGACGTTAGACTTACTGGTCTGTATTTGCCAGGATCACCTCTAGAGCCCTTTTTAAATATTTGCATCATATTAGCTATTTTCCCGTCATTAGGTACAGAAGCTGATTTAGAATCATAGAATACTTAGGACTGGAAGAGACCTCAAGAGGTCATCAAGTCCAGTCCCCTGCCCTCATGGCAGGACCAAATACTGTCTAGACTATCCCTGACAGACATTTACCTAACCTACTCTTAAATATCTCCAGAGATGGGGATTCCACAACCTCCCTGGGCAATTTATTCCAGTGGTTGACTACACTGACAGTTAGGAACTTTTTCCTAATGTCCAACCTACACCTCCCTTGCTGCAGTTTAAGCCCATTGCTTCTTGCTCTATCTTCAGAGGCCAAGATGAACAGGTTTTCTTCCTCCTCTTTATGACATCCTTTTAGATACCTGAAAACTGCTATCATGTCCCCCCCTCAATCTTCTCTTTTCACCTCCCTTGCTGCAGTTTAAGCCCATTGCTTCTTGCTCTATCTTCAGAGGCCAAGATGAACAGGTTTTCTTCCTCCTCTTTATGACATCTTTTTAAATACTTGAAAACTGCTATCATGTCCCCCCTCAATCTTCTCTTTTCTAAACTAAACCCAATTCTTTCAGCCTTCCTTCATAGGTCATGTTCTCTAGACTTTTAATCATTCTTGTTGCTCTTCTCTGGACCCTCTCCAATTTCTCCACATCTTTCTTGAAATGTAGTGCCCAGAACTGGACACAGTATTCCAACTGAGGCCTAACCAGCACAGAGTAGAGCGGAAGAATGACTTCTCGTGTCTTGCTCACAACACACCTGTTAATGCATCCCAGAATCATATTGGCTTTTTTTTGCAACAGCATCACACTGCTGACTCATAGTCAGCTTGTGGTCCACTATAACCCCTAGATCACTTTCTGCCATACTCCTTCCTAGACAGTAGCTTCCCATTCTGTATGTGTGAAACTGATTGTTCCTTCCTAAGTGGAGCACTTTGCATTTGTCTTTATTAAACTTCATCCTGTTTACCTCAGACCATTTCTCCAATTTGTCCAGATCATTTTGAATTATGACCCTATCCTCCAAAGAAGTTGCAACCCCTCCCAGTTTGGTATCCTCTGCAAACTTAATAAGCGTACTCTCTATGCCGATATTTAAATAGTTGATGAAGATATTGAACAGAACCGGTTATACCTTTCCAGCAGGATTGTGAACCGTTAATAACTACTCTCTGAGAACAGTTATCTAGTCAGTTATGCACCCACCTTATAGTAGCCCCTTTAAGTTGTATTTGCCTAATATATTGATAAGAATATCATGCGAGACCGTATCAAATGCCTTACTAAAGTCTA